AAATCCTTTTTTGTATTTGCTCTTTCATCTTAGTAGTGTTGAGAGATTTATCTTCCAGCTTACTAGTTCTGGCTTCTATCTCTTCAATTCTGCTCCTTTGCCCTTTCAGTGTATTGTCCATTTCTGATATTCTATTATTAATCGTTTGGACCTCTTTCTGTAGGTTTTGAATGGTTTTCAATGCTGTATCTATCTTATTTGATTGTTTCTGTAGTGCTTTTCTGACTTCTTCCTTATTTTTCTCAACTCCATTATACTGTGTTTTGACACCTATTATAATCATTTTTCTGAATACCTTCTCTGGCATTTCCAAAGTGTAGGTCTACTTCCCAGCTCATTTGCCTCAGTCACTTTAATCTCATTTCTGGACATGTGCAGATATGGTCGTCTGCTTCTGCTTTTTGGACATATTCAGGGGTTATCTGTGGCCTTAATACTTAGATGGGTGTGTATTTTGGTACGACTACAGCCGTTTGGTTTTAATTGGAAACTGTCTCTTTAAATTTTGAGGAGATCTGTACGCATGCGTAGTAGAACCCTCCGAGGGTGGGGCCGGGGTGCCCACTAGCTCAGGCACCCTAATGGAGGTGTGCAGACTGCAAGGGACCAATGAACAGGTACCAAAAGAAAAGAATGTCCACAACTTTATCTCCACGGTTCTGTGAAGCGTCCGTTGCTGTGAAGCGTCCGTGGCTGCTCTGTTCCTTCCCCTGCTTGGTCTCACCCAAGATGGCGGAGCAGCTGAGCATCTTGAAGGAGAAAGCGATGGTTTTGCTGCTTCTGGTACAAATTCCCCTAGTTGTAAGCCTTCCAACCTTCTAAATATTCATTTATATGTGGTTCATAGAGTTCTGGGACCATCCCCTGAGCCTCTTTGGTCTTGTATTCTGTGTTGTTGCTGACGAAGCTCCTTACTGCCCTTTCACCCGATCCGCCATCTTGTTTGTTATCCCTACATGGTATTCTTATTAATAATGAAATGCATTTTAAATTTTGGCACAATGGTGACACATTGTCCTCTGGAAAATGACTTAAATGTCTTCACATACTAATGGGAAGATGTCAGCTACTGGAGAGGGGGGTGGTTGAAGTCATAGCAGAGAGAGGACTTAAATGATAGATATGGAGGCTGCAGCTGTTGAATTTGGTGTGAAGTTGAAGGAGTTTTTAGTGTATGGCTTCTCATTTCTCAGTTCCGTAGCCAGGTTCTCTGATGATTGTGAAGTGAGGCAGATTTTAGAGTTAGAAGTGTTATGATAGATGGACTTGGAAAAGTCACTTTAGGAGAAAGGGAAGCTAGTGAGGGAAACAGAACATTTGCTGGTCAGTTTTGAGAAAGTGATAGCTCATTTGAAGTAGACAGGAGTTTTGTTCTGTGCAGTGTGTATGTTTATATAACAACATTTGCCAGTCTTGCTGGGATCTGAGAGTTGTAAGTTCTTTTAGGAAAATACAAAGATTGTCTTGTTTGTGCTTGACTCTCCAGCACCTAGAATAGGCCTAGCATTTAGTTGGGATTAATTTTTTTTATTAGGAGGAAGAGCACAACTAATAGATGGGGGTGGGGAGGACCGGTCTTTTACAACAATGTTGTTGGTACTCTTGGGTCAGGAGACAGGGAGAGAAGTCCTAATGATCCAGAGCTGGGGTTTTGTAAGATGTGAGTGCCTTAGTGTAAAAGGGAAACTGTAAGAGAGTGATAGAAATCAGAAGAAGAAGCAAGTCAAGAATGAAGGAAGCTCTGTCTTTTTCTGGATATTGGCAGGAGAGTGGGTGAAGTGATAGACCCTGATAGTGAAGTAAGAGAGGGAAACTAGACCACATTGGTAGAAGAGAGAAAGTGGAGAGTGTCAAAAGATTGAAGGTTTGTGTATTTGGTAGAAGTACAGCAGAAGTAACCTAATGAAAGTTGGAATGACAAAAGGGCTATGGTATGAGAATGGGGTGAGTATTTGTTTGGGGTGTGACTCTTGGAGACTGTAAATCTTTACAGGAGCAGACAGCTTCATCTTTTTTCCAAGGACTGACTGGTGGGTTTGAGTTACTGACCTTGCAGTTAGCAAGCACCACCAGAACTCCTTAGCTCTTGGATTGTTGTTGTTGTTATATGCCGTCAAGTTGGTTCCGACTCGTAGCAACCCTGCATGGGGTTTCCAAGGAGCATCTGGTGGGTTTGAACCACCATATTGCAGTTCAAACTGACCTTGTGTTCCAGTAGTTATCCTACAGCGCCACCCCAGGACTCCAGCTCTTGGGTGGTGGTGGGGATGGTTATGTGCCATGGAGTTGGTTCCTTCTCATAGCAACCCTGTACAGGGTTTCCGAGGCTGTAAATCTTTCTGGAGCAGAAAGCTTCATCTTTCTCCCGCAGAACAACTGGTAGTTTGAACTGCTGACCTTGCGGTTTGTAGCCCGATTCGTAACCACTAAGCTACCAGAGCTGAAATGGAATAGAAGAGCCATTGGAGTTGAGCATGAGTTAAAGGGGGTTGTCTTGGGCTCTCAAGACACCCTGAACAGCATATCAGAATTTATGGATACTTTGATTGTTTCAATGACCTTGGTGTGCATCTGTCATTGAGACTGCAGGACTCAGAGGGGCTAATGTCTTGTGCAGCTCGGGATGCTTCCCTGCAACAAAGACTTGTCCTGTCTAACATACCAGCTGTCTTCATTCAGTGACACCAGAAAAGCATGGACATTCCTTTTGGAGACATAGAAATGCAGTGAGCTCTCCATCTGTAGTAGTTCTTCTGATACTCTATGTCTATGTAACAGGTAAAAGGATTGAGAGGGAAGAGGAGGAAGAAGAGGAGGCCCTTCCCTTAGACATGATGGATGAAGATGACTTACAGTTAATGAAAGATTTAGGACAAAGAGCATCTTTTCTAACAAGAGATCTTTCTTCCAGGTAATAGTTCATTTAGACTTTTTCTTTGGGTGGTGGTGGTGGAGGTAAAAATAGACAGAACATTCGGCATTTTCTACGTGTACACTTCGGTGATAATTGGTTACGTTCTTTACCACATAACTTTAATGTTAAAAAACTCAGATCTAGGGATATTAGTCTCGCTCATATGATCCAAGAGTAAATAGACAAAGGTTTACAAAACAGACTAAATGCTTTAGAGAAAGGAAGATCGCTTAAGGGAAATAAGACCCAGTATATCCAGATTACACTCCCAGCTAAGGTTATTCATGGGATAAGTAGATTTGTGTTATCTTTCAGTAATCCAGAACTTGATTGGAACTTAATCCAACAGCATTTTAGGAGGTTGTGGAACAATATACACTTGTCTGTGGATATTCATCAGCTACATGCTCAAATTTCTGATATAAGTAATTCTCAAAGTGAGCACTGAGTGGCTACTAATTTGCTACCCCTGCTAGAAGAACTTGATTGAACCTCAGCATAGTGATCCTGCTTGGTCACCTTAGAGCAGGTGGTGGGCTGGCAACGTCTTGCGTATGGGGTCCCCAGCCGATCTCCTCCCTCCCTGCCTTCCTCGGATGGTGGCTGTTTATGCTGGACGTGTGGCCAGAGACGGGTAAGGATCACGTGGAACCTCGGCAACTTAAGACAGAGCCATTGCCATGCTGCAATGAGTTTCAATGATTGGTAAGACTGAGGAATTCGCACTGACCGCCTAAGACAGGCAGCGTCCCTTAAACAAACAATAAATAAGGAGGATTCGGATGCAGACTGTGCAGACCTGGTCAGGAGGCCAAGCCCCTGTGGGCCTAAGCGTTGTTGACCGTCCAAACCATAGGCTCTGAGGATCAGACTTTAGCTACCTAGTAGACATAGCAAACTGTCCCTCATCTGATTATTCAGTAATGCTTGTTAGTAATCTCATACATCAGCCCTGGATATCCACAGACAAATGTAAAAACCTTCCCTAAAAACCGAGACTATAAATTCCAAAAAGGCAAGTCCCCCCCCCATCCAAAAAAAAAAGCTAAAGAGGATAGATAGAGAGAAACACTGTTAACTGATGATATATGGAGGGGATAATAATCAATGTAATGAAACAAGCTATATATGAATGGTTGAATAAGTTCTCCCATGTAAACTATCATATAATTCACAATAAAGCATTAAAAAAAAAAAAAAACTCAGACCCGATTTTTATTTAGGTGATGCATGAAAGATGCCCAGTTCAGTACAGTATTTACAAACAGACAGGTAAGCCGGAAGACAAGCTCGTTTTGTTGATTTCTTGTCAGTCTGAAGAGTGAAGCAGAGTGGGGGAAGTGCTCTTCTCAGTCTGAGGTGTTGGCCGTGCAGTCCTGAGCTCTTCATGGTTAGGGTCTCACTGAATTCTCATTTCCCTACCAGGCAGATATTCCCACTCACAGAGAGGTACTTTTATGTTCCATACATCGCACACTTTGTTTCATTTTAATGATTGCAATCCCATCCATGTATCAACAGTTATCCCACCTCCTCATGGGTATTTCCATTATTACCTGTCCTTCTAAGAAGTGGGTCTGGTATTTACATTTAGTTGTTTTTGTTTTAAACTCCAAAATCCATACTATGCTCTGAAGAATTTGGGGAAAGTACCATAGCCTGATGAGTCCTGATGTGGTGCTGTAGGATCAGCACTGGACTGCTAACTGCAAGGTTGGAGGTTCAAACCCACTAGCTGCTCCTTGGAAACTCTATACAGGGTCACTGTGAGTTGGAACTCACTACTCGATGACACTTAACAACAACAACCCATAGCCTGATTTTACCTTAGGCTCTGTGGAAGAGAATTCAAAAAAGGATCTGCTGAAAATTTCACCTTTTTCAGCATCTAAAAGGAAACCTAGATGCTGGCATAGTTTGAGCTTTTGCATGATAAAATTATTCCATTCCTATTTGAGTACCTGCTATGGGCCAGACACTGGTCTAGGTTGAATAGGAAAGTTTGAGTATGATTTATTTTTCTATACTTTTTACAAATGGTGGGTCTTGGGGATGCTTTTTAAATACATTAAAACTAGCATATTAAAATTTTTGTTTAAACTGTTATAAACTAGTATAACTTTTCCCCCACAGTGAGGCAGTTCACAGCAAGAAACGAAAGCATGAAGGCATTATAGAGAAATATGAAAAAATACCGAGGAGTCTGCACACTGCACCAGAGAAAGAACTGATTCACTTGCTTCCTATCAAAGATAAAAGTGGTATCATCCCACAGACCAGAGAGAAGCCAGGTGAATTTAATCAACTCATGTAACCATTAAAATTGCAGCTCCTTATCAACAGTATCACTTCTTTTCATTCAGAGTTTAATTAAAATTTTAAGATAAAGGTAATGTACAAAATAAAGACAGCTGCAGTTGGTCTTGTCACAGGTCTGATGATTAGCTCAGGTGTACTGAGTACAGTGGATGCTACGAATGTTGGGTGATTTTCTTTCTAAAAGAGTCTGTTTCACCAAGCTCTACTGTTTCTAAGAGTAGAGCAGATTAACTGTCCTGTATTAGCCTTTTTTTCTTCTTTCATTTAACTTTTTCTTTTAAAAGAAATCACGCAGAAAAGTCCAGAAATCTAATATGTGGAGTTATGTTGAGTGTTACAAACCAGCGTCCAGAAACTTCTTTCGTACCTCTTTTCAATCATTAATTGCTTCCTTTCTACAGAAACAACTATTTTGAGTTGTTTGGTAATATCTTCCCTGCTTTTCTTTATAGTTTCACCACCTAAGTCTATTATCACATTTTTATTCACATTTTCCACGTAGTTATTGACAGTAACAAAGATGAAGAGGATCAAGAAGAGGAGCTGGCACTTGAAGAAGGTAATGAGATATATCTTTATAGTTACTAAATTGAGACAGTAATTGTGAGTTAATTTAAATAAAATCTGGAATGTGCATTTTTGAAGTATAGATTATTTATTTTATTTAAAATTTTTTTATTGTGAATTGAGTGACGGTTTACAGAGATCCTTAGTTTTATATTCAACAAATTGCACTCTTTGATTCATTTTAATGATTGCGGTCCCCTCCATGTAACAGTAGTTACCCACTTCCTCCCTGTGCTTCTTATTCCATTTCACCTTCCTTCCCATCCCTTCTCAACTTTGTACTTGGTAAATGTTTGGAGCACAGGTCATTTTGAGGTCATTTTGAATATTTTAACTGTGAGAGAAAGTCCCTCCTATAAATAACTTAGTATTTTATTTGTAACCTTACATCATAAAAAATTATTGTGGTATGAAAAATTTGTTTCTTAGACCAAGTATATTTTGTATATGTTTGCGTTGGATAACTGAATGTGTGTTTCTAATGTGTAGAATAGTTCTAATTGAAACTTGAACGAATAAAATATTTGACTGTTTGAAACCATAGTTTTTGGAATTGGTAACAGAATGCACTGGTTAAATTGCCCTTACACTTAATAATGTAAGTGAGATTAAGGCCACCTGTCTGTTTTCAGTTGTCCTTTATAGACTCATTACAGATTATGTTTGTGTATTTATTAAAGTTAGGATCCTATGAATTTCTTAAGATGGTCATGTTGTTGTTGTTGTTAAGTGCCGTCGAGTCGTTTCCGACCCATAACAACCCTGTACAGGGTTTCCGAGGCTGTAAATCTTTATGGGAGCAGAACGCCTCATCTTTCTCCCGCGGAACAGCTAGCTGGTAGTTTCGAACTGCTGGCCTTAAGGTTTGCAGCCCGATTCGTAACAACTACGCTACCAGAGCTGTTTTGTGTAATTCAATGTACTTTACAGAGTTGAAAGCAAAGGAAAATATTCTATACTTTTTAGAAAAACTAAATCAGGTTGACCTTTCTTTTCTTTCATCTGAGTTACTATGAGTTTGTTCGTCTACTGATTAAGATATGAATCCTGAGTCAGACTGCCTAGGTTTAAATCCCATATCTGCCAGGTTTATTAGTTCTAAAAGGTAAGTTTCCTACTATCCCATTACCTCAGTTTCCTTATCTACAAAGTGGAGCTAATAATAGTATTTGCCTCTTAGAATTGTTGAGAGGATGACAGGATGACGTGTAGTACTAAATGTAGAGCTCTTGGCCATGGTAAAGTACTTGACAGGTGTTATCATTCATCATTATTAATTACTATAATTATTGATTGAGGTTCTTGGTAAATAAAGGAATATTTTAAAGGAAAAAAACTAATTTCTTCTAGAGCTCATTCAAGATCCCGTTCCAGAGCTGACTTTAGAAGAACATTTAATTGAGAGAAAGAGGAAACTGCAGGAGAAGAAAATGCATATTGCAGCATTGGCTTCTGCCATAATATCAGATCCAGAAAGTAATGTAGGTAGAATGAATGTCTTTGTTGTTGCTGTTGTTAAGTGCTGTCGAGTTGGTACTGACTCATAGCGACCCTGAATAGGGTTTCCAAGGAGCAGCTGGTGGATTTGAACTATCTAGCTTGTGGTTTGCAGTCCAATGCTGGTCCTACAGTACCACATCAGGAGTCTTTTATAAATGTCTTTAGGATCGTCATAATAAATATGGGATAAATATTTACTACTTTAAGGCTCTCTTGTTACCTATAAGCATCCATGGAAAGGTGAAGCATTAACTGAACATAGTAGCTGAGTTAAATTCAAGAGTGTGTGCCTTAGCTCAATCTTATGTCTGAGCTTAGCTTCTTTTGCTATCTTAGAAAAGTCACTTAAATTTCACGTAATCCTATTTTCCTAATTTCTAAATGAAGACCTAATATTATGGCCCTAAAATGCTTACCAGTTTGTGAAAATTAATTGCATTAAGCAGAAGGACCCTTCTTGCATATCAGATTGACTATCCTATAGAGTTTTTCATAAGAAACATGCTTTAAAACAAATCAGTCATAGTTGTACAAGCCTCCTTTGAGTGGGAAATACATTTTAAGTAATGCCAGAGAGTTGTAATGAATGATCATTGGGTCATGGGCACAGTGGTAAAGGTGAGAGGTGCAACACCTGGACTCACGAAACTTAAGGTTTCATCTCAGCTCTGGTAAGCACTGTATGTGTGACCAGTGAGTCATCTTATCCAAGATTCATCTTCCTTCTCTCCTGGTGTGGTGCTGTAGCATCAGCACTGAATTGCACACCACAAGGTCGGCAATTCAAACCCACCAGCTGCTCTTCAGAAACCCTATACAGGTTCATTATGAGTCGGAACCTACTTGATGTTACTTAACAACAACCACCAAAAGTATTACTTAAAAAGTACCTATTTCACAACTTTGTTGTAAGGATTAGGAACATTGAGCTTATGGATAATTTGCACTTGCCTTTTAAAATGGTCCTCACTTTGAAATACAAAGGAATCTGGTGGCACAGTGGTTTAAGCGCTCAGCTACAAACCAGAAGGATGGTGGTTCAAATCCATCAGCTTCTCTGAGGAAGAAAGATGTGGAAATCTGCTTCTGTGAAGATTATAGCTAGAGATTGGAACCCAGTTCTTCTGACTATATAGCTTCATGCTGTTTCCCACAGTTTAGGGATAGCAGACAGGCGATGGCATGCTTGTTTTAATCCTTGTTCGTGGCAGACATTGCCAACCAATCAGAACATTGTCCTTCTATATAGTATTGCAGCAGACAACTGCAGCTCAGCAGAGCAGTCACATCAGTTGAAACCCATTTTTTCATTTCTGCATCATAAGACACTTGTTAAGTGCCATCAAGTCGGTTCTGACCCATAGTGACCCTGTATAGGCTTTCCAAAGAGCAGCTGGTGAGCTTAAACCATCGACCTTGCAGTTCAAATCTTTGCAATCTGGCACATTAACCCACAGTACCACTATGAAGTGTGTATACATATATATATATATGTGTGTATGTGTGTGTGTGTGTGTCTATATATATATATAGACACACACAAAAAGTTTATATATTTTAACTACTTAGTTAACAAAAGTATGATGAACTAACTCATAACTAGTGATATCTCTCTGTTGGTGAAGTAAATTGTGTGTGCATTTGTGTGTCTCTTAACTAATGACATGCTTAGTCATGGCTGAATTTCCCTGATTACACCAGATGTAGGTTTGTTGTTGTTTATAATTGTTTTGTCATGGTGTCTCTAGCCTTACAAGTTATTTCCTTAACAGATTAAAAAATTGAAAGAATTGCGATCCATGCTAATGGAACAGGACCCTGATGTGGCTGTTACTGTCCGAAAACTGGTGATAGTTTCTTTGATGGAATTATTTAAGGACATTACCCCTTCATATAAAATCAGACCCCTAACAGAAGCAGAAAAATCTACCAAGGTAATGCTTGCTATGAATACTGTATAAGGTAAACCAGAAACTTAGCAGAGTGAGAAATGGGATTTGTTTTTCAGTGCAGGCATACAGTAGGCATTCACATTTTAAAAATATTTTATTGTGAATTATGTGATAGTTTACGTGGGAGAACATCAGCTTTACATTCATCCTATCATATATTGCTTCCTTGCCATGGTTACAATCCATTCCATGCATCTTTAACCAACCAGTGGGTATATATATCCTGCAACCCTGCCCCTCTGGTCGTCAGCACACAGCCTCTCTCCCTCTCTTGGTCTAAAATCCCCAACTGCTCCATCTCGCCATGTCATCGTCTCAGCCTCCATCTCTGGCGTCACTGCTTCTCTGGGTAGAGTCCTGCTCTCCGCTCTTCTCCTTTGGTGTTCCCAGGGACCTCCGCTCCTGGACTGCAAAGTCAATCACTCCCCTACTTTTGCTACAAAATGTCTACCTTTACATTTCCAACCCTCACAAGCAGTCCTGATAACCATTATTATACCACAAGAGACCTATCTGCATCTCCTTTCATCAGCCCTGCCCAGACAGATTGGATATTACTCAGTGGAGATTCTACCTTCCGCCATGCCTTCTGGATCTAGGCTCCCTCTTGAAAGCTTGTAAGTCAGTCACTTCTTGCCTTTGTAGCCCCCCTCCATTTTGGGTAGCCAATGTCCAAGTTGCCCATCCCTGTCTACTCTGCATACAGAGGGGTGGGAATGATCCTCGCTGTAAAGATTTGTTCCCTGTTTTGAGCTACTGCATCCATAGGTGTAAGTCAGGTTCATGAAACTGTATCAGATTATCCTTTTTTTCCTCTTCTTCTTCTAGTTGAGCTCTGATCATCTAGTCATTGAAGCCAGGTCAAGTGGATATTATCTGCAAGTGTGGGTGTTTTTATGCATATGTTCTCCCTTCTTATCAGCTGGATGCTTCACTCTCCACTCTAGTCCTCTGTGGCTATGCCACTGACTCTGGGCCCAAGAGTCCCCAGGTCTTGCCACACTGCTGGCCGACCAGGTCTCTACCCAGGTTTACAAGAGTCTATTGAATGTTGTAGGAT